TCTTTGCTTAAGAAATATTAATATCAAACTGAAAAAAGAACAATACGAACATTAAAAAAAGGGAGCAAAATACACAGTACACCCAAAGTCATGCCCAAGGCTAAAAAAAAATAAAAAAAATAAAAGGGACCCACCGGGCGCCGATTCCACGTTCCAGTACGTGCAATTAATCTAGCGAGTGTGCTTAACCAACTAGACCTTCAACCTATTCTGATTTTTTGAATATTTAATAACAAAAATAGCAAATATGCCATTTTTTGCGGCTTGCATCCAAATTTCTCTGGAAAGTTTCATGACATCCATCCGTTATCAATCCGTCATCCATCCGTTATAATCAAAACATATCTAGACTAAAGTGATGCCTGGCTTTCTTGTGGAACAAACCGTTTTTAAGTAGGAGTGAAACTCCAACCTACACAACGACATTTATAAATGTTAACATGATTGAAATGGTTAATGTTGAAACAGACACAGCCTCAATCAGAATGACGGGTAGTGACGGAAGTAAAAAACACAAGTTTGAGGGGTAACTCTAGTGTCAGCAGACATAAGAAAGTTTATAAGGCTCAACAAAGGATAATGTTACATTAAGAGAACAGGAGATAAAAAAAAATTAATTCTAGTATAGGAAAAGCCCAGTGGTACCTAAAACTACATTATTATGACATGACACGCCTTGCTGGTTTATTTACACGCTATTTTTTCGTGTTGCCGACATGTGCAGACGCGTTCTACACGTACTCTGATGTCATTTAAACGTATTTTGACATGTTACGCGTCTGTTTGTACCTGCATGAAAATGTAACACGCGTGTGGACGTGTTGTACTCGTGTTCTATCGCGATACAGAAGTGTTTGGATGCGAGAGACATTTTATTTCTTTTCGGGTGGTAGTCCACTCTTTTAGATCCTATTAAGACTCTGCTGTAGACTATAATATGGCATTTGGAAAAATGATTCTGTAACTTTCAAAATTAGACTCGTAAAAGTGTTCTTCAACATTTTACCGATCAAGATAGGAGTTCAACAAGTAAATGAAAGAGAATTCATACAGGGACAGCCCTCTTTCATTATTATGTCCTTTATTGAGCATTAGTGTTACCCCAATGTAGTTTAAATGAACTCTGGGCTTTGTACATTGAGTGCCGTACAATTAGCAGCAATGTTGCCTTTCATTGCCAAATAGGTGGGCAATGATCGTGCATCCATAGTCTATGCTATGCCCCTGCACTTGTAAAACTTTGGTTTTACGCGTATATGCCTTCTTAATAACGAATAAAAGCATAAAAAAATAATTCCCTTGCGTTGACCAACTCCACCGACTCGAGTTCTACATAAAAGTTGAGTGTCACTGACCGACTATGACTAGTAATCGGTAATTAGGTATTCCGAAATATTTTTCTTATTAAATCTTTAGCAAAAAAATGTGGGAGAATCGCCTCGGCCTCAGGAATACACTGGTGGGTGAGATCACGCTTAAAAGTTACCGTGTCAAAAGTGCAAAAAAGTGGGCCCGGCGGGGGGCGATCTCTTAAACCCCGCGTTGAAAGACCGACGCTCTCCCCCCTAAGCTAAAATTCTGGCGGAGTTTCGCGTCACCAGTGTAGTACAAGACACGCCTATTACTATTAAAACACGTGACTTTCACGTGACATGCCTTGCTTTTCCATGTACAGGCATAGAATGCTTTATCAAGCTAAACGGACGCGTTATACACGTGTTTTTTGTGTCTTAAACATGCTCTGCCGTGTTATTCACTTGTTTTGAATGAGTACCAAGGTGCGGTACTCGTGCACGGACGTGTTATTCTCGTGTATGCATGTGGTGTAGAAATGTCAAGTTGCATTCTATTTTCCAAAGAAACATTTCCTACATTGTTCCAACTTAGACCTTCGACCTTATTCTTTTCGGCTAGAGCTCATTTCTTGACATTTCCATTTTAAATTAACTGAGAATACTTAACAGACCAAGGCAAACAGACTTTTAAAGGTAAGGTTGTTATAAAGTGCCCCCAAAAAGTATATTTTACGATATTCTAATTTTACCATTCATTTCACCAAGTATTGATCTTATTTCTTTCGGCTAGAGTCCAATTCGTAAGCTTTCATTCTGAAGTTAACTGGGGACACGCTCTTAGTGTCTGTTAATCGATGCGTAAAGTGTGCAAATCTTGAAACTGTCACAGAAAATAGTATTGGACTTTATTGTCCACGTACAAGTCATTTTAGCGTGTATTCACTTTGTTTCTTTCGGCTAGAGACCAGTTCTTGAGCTTTTATTCTGAAACTACTTAGAGAGACGTACAAGATACCAAATAATAGATCCGTGGAAGTCTCGCTATTTGAAAGTGTCTACAAAATATTCTTTCGCACAATATTTTCAATTTACACATTATTTCACGAAGTAGTGACTTTATTTCTTTCGGCTAGAGTCCAATTCTTGAGTTATTAATCTGGAATTAATTGCAGACAAGCTCGACGTACTTGTAAAGAAATGTGTAAAGTTGCTACTGCTTGAAACTGTTACAAAGAGAATTATTGGACTTTATTGTCCATGTACAAGTCATTTCACCAAGTATTGATCTTATTTCTTTCGGCTAGAGACCAGTTCTTGAGCTTTCATTCCGAAATTAACTGGAGACACGTTCGTAGTGTTTCTTAATCCATGTGTAAAGATTTGGAAGCTTCAAGCTGCCACAGAAAAAAGTCTTTGACTTTATTGTCCATTTTTAAGTCATATCACAGTGTATTTACTTTATTTCTTTCGGCTTAAATAAGAATACACGGATAAACATCTATTCAAGTAAAATGAATAAACAATTGAATCGTAAGTCCAGATTGAATCTACTATTAGTTTAGACACAATAAGAATACAAATAGGACATCATTTGACTCTTGAGAACAGGTTATTTTTACTTTGATAACTTTATAGCCTATTTTTGATATCAACCATAGGACTGGTGCATCAAAAAACTATCTCACCATAGTAGAGACTACTCTAATGCAAACACGAAACATATAAGAGGCACCGATACAACAAATACGAAGCACCGACTTAACAAACATGCATACAAGAGCAAATTAAGCATTTAGTAAAGGATTATCTTGTATTGAATTGAAATTACTGTCTCTTAGACGAAATGACTTGAAAAGAGCCTAGTCAAAAAGGGCTTTTATAATTACGTTTTGTCCCAGTAGCACTGCATGCGATTCAGATATAACTTCTTTATAATGTTAATACTGCTTCAATTGAATTTAAGGCCCCTCTTCTAGTGTACTTAAAGCTAGGTAAGTATATTTTTATGCTAAGCTTTTGTTTGGTTCATACAAGAGATCGTGATATACAAGGTCAATTGGAGAACATCTAAAGCACTTGTTATACTGTTAGTGACTCATACACTAATAACAGGTGCATCTTCGACAAATAACATTATTGTTTGAGATCACTGCACATCTTTTATATTAAATAGATACAAATAACATGGGCTTGTTATAATACACTTTCAAAATGCGTCTCCCTTGCTTCATAAATGTCAAGTGGAGGCCAGAAATAATAATACTACGTCTTAGCCATTAATCATTAAATCTGTCATAAGTAATGACTTATTACATCTAATCACTGCTTATTTTTGAGCCAAATACAGTAACTACAAAAACCTTTTACCTTTAATGTAGCCGAACTATCCTCTTTTTTCTTGCCCTTCATCAGATATATTATCTAATAAACGTCTCTCCTTTTTTCTTCTTTCTCTCTCTCTTTTATAATAAATAGAATAATTATCCTCTCTTTCGTTGTCGTTGTAAGTATTCTTCCATCTGTCCTGTTTGCCTATCCCCTCCTGACAGCTACTATCACTGTCTGACTCAATGTTTTCATGGCTCCATTAGCCATTGTTATGGTCACATCATAATCAGTTGAGGTCACATGATATTCACGTGAGATCACATGATATTCACGTGAGGTCACATGATATTCACGTGGCTCATATAATATAGTAACCAGCTAGGTGTAACTGGGTGACATCTTGCACGTTTTGGGGACAATGAATGGAGTATACCAGCAACAGGAATAATAATAGCTATGACTAGGCTTTCTTATGTAGGCTGTTAGGAGGTAATACATTACGATCTCGATAACATACAGTAGCATGTGTCTAGTAGCAGGATTTTAGGCAACATGTCAATTTAATATTTTTCTGTTCATGGTAAAATCATGGCATGGTATTACATCGTCCGGAATTCAATTTTCTCCGTCTCTAAGTTCCACAGTGGTACGACATCGCCGGGAATCGAATTATCTCGATGTATAGGTCACACAGTGGTACCACAGAGTCGGGGATTTAATTTTTATGACCATTTGGTCACAAAATGGTACCACAGAATCGGGGATTTAATTTTTATGACCATTTGGTCACAAAATGGTACTACATGAGCGGGAATTGAATTTTTATGACCATTTGGTCACAAAATGGTACTACATGAGCGGGAATTGAATTTTTATGACCATTTGGTCACAAAATGGTACTACATGAGCGGTAATTAAATATTCATGATCCGGAAATCATTTTCCTGACCTTTGGGTGTTTGACTTTTGCATGTCTGACTTTTTGGGTTATGAAATGAAATGGTACCTGATTGTTGGGAGAAATCTTGCGTGCGTAGGCTTATTCATCTTGAAAACTCGCTTTCTACAACCGAACCTTGGTAACAGGGTGCTGTCTGCACTAATATTGAACAAATTTTTGGCAGACACCCTTGAACCCTTCAACCCCAACCCCCAATTTTCGCCTAATACCCTGGTTGACTTATAATCTCTTTATCCTCCTTTTACTCTCTTCATATCCTTCCTTCTCTTACTCCCCTTGTCGTAGGCAACAGTGTTGTCGTAGGCAACTGAGTTGTCGAGGGCAACAGAGTTGTCGAGGGCAACAGAGTTGTCGAGGGCAACAGAGTTGTCGAGGGCAACAGAGTTGTCGAGGGCAACAGCGTTGTCGAGGGCAACAGCGTTGTCGAGGGCAACACCGTTGTCGAGGGTAACAGAGTTGTCGAGGGCAACACCGTTGTCGAGGGTAACAGAGTTGTCGAGGGCAACAGAGTTGTCGAGGGCAACAGAGTTGTCGAGGGCAACAGTGTTGTCGAGGGCAACAGAGTTTTCGAGGGCAACAGAGTTGTCGAGGGCAACAGAGTCGTTGAGGGCAATATCGTTGTATATGTGATTAATTGTGTGGTCCTAGTGATTATTAATATTCATAGTGATCATTAATGGTCATGGTGATCTTATTGTCATAGATATCTTTTGCCTTGGTTGTTGTATTGCCTTGGTTATTTCGTGTCTAGGTTATCATGTTGTCTTGGTTATTTATTATTCAGGATATCTTGTTGTCTTGGTTCTTTATTATTCAGGATATCTTGTTGTCTTGGATATTGTTGTCTTTCGTATTGGGTTGTCTTCGCCTCATTGTTGTGTTGAATGCTGTTGTCTTGGTTATTTTCTTGTGTTGCGTATCATGTTATCTTATATACCTGGTTGTCTTGACAATCTCGTTGTCTTGGATACATTGCTCTCCAGAATATCTTCTGTCTTCGATACACTGTTGTCTTAGAGATTATGTTTTCCTTAAAATCATGTTGTCCTGGATATCCTGTTGTTCTAGAAACATTGTTGCCTTAGTTTTGTTGTTGCTGTACTTACCTGGTTGTCTTAGTTACCTTGTTGTATTTGTTCTATGGTTGTCATAGTTATTTTCATGTCTTACTTATCTTTTTGTCTTAATAAATATTTATCTTAGAGTTCCTGTTGTCTTGGAGATCATTTCGTTATGGATATTTTATTGTCTTGCATATCTTGTTGTAATGCATATTTTGTTGTCCTAGAAATCATGTTGTCTTAGTAAGGTTGTTGTCCTACATATGTAGTTGTCCTACTTATTTGGTTGCCCTAGATATCATGTTGTTATACTTACCTAGTTGTCTTATATACCTTGTTGTTTTATATGTCTTGTTGCGTGACATACCTTGATGCTTTGAATATCTCAATGTCTTGGATACTATGTTGTGTAATTAATTTTCGTTGACTTCATTTGGTCGTTGTCATAGTCATTTGGTATGCAGGATACCATGTTGTTTTAGATATTGTGTTGTCTTGGTTCTTTAATATCTATGATATCGTGTTGTCCTGCATTATTATTTATATTCGCGTCTTTGTTGTCTAAGTTACTTCGTACCTTTATGTTGTTGTCGTATTGGAAACTACAATATCGTGCCGAATACTATATCTTTTTGCGGTTTTACTTCTGTTGGAAACGCTGTTTCCTTAAATTATTTCTGGTCCACAATATCTTAGTTGTCTTGGAATATTATTTATAGCTATGTACAGTATGCAGCATTAATACTTACTTTAGTTGGGAACCATTGAAACTATTGCCCATTATAATACTCTACGACTTTGTCAGTCTTTTAAAACATTTATGTAACTAGCCTTTTTTTGCTGTTTAGGTAAATACTACATACTATGCTGAAGACATTATCAGTGTTTGTTAGAAGTTCTAAAATTATTACGACTTCTGATATATTTTTTGTCCTTTTATCTTAAGTATTTATTGTTTCTAATTTCTTTCGGCTGTGGTTCTTATTCAGCTACATCCTCTCAATAATAGGTTTACATACCTCCAAAGGAATGGCAGACTTATTTATTTAGATGCCATTGTGTAAAACTCTCTTTAGGCATAGTATTTCATGTTTTTTTAACTTTTTTAACCTTTTTTGTTCGGCTAGACTTTTTCAAACTATACTCATACCTTAATTCGTGTATTCTTATGTTATTAAAGTAATTCCCAAGTCATTACAAATTTTTTTCGACTTCTTACAATTTTTTTTTGGATTATTCTCCCTGCACTATTTTTTTCGGCTTGCGACCAATTATTTGTCGTTTGTCTTCAAACTTGGAAGAGGATCTTAGAAGATACGTCTAATACTACCTGCCCTATTGTCATTATGTGAAGTTGACTAAGGAATTATTATTTGGTGATATTGTAACTATTAATGTTAGTTTATAAAGTAATTAATGCTATACGGTCTTTATTTGCATTGGCAGACGTTTTTTGCGGTGCAAGTAGTCTTTATTATTCGCTTAAGTTATAAAATAATTCTTCTCTTTTTGTCTACGTGTAAAGAATCATGTCATGTTCACTGCTGGAGATTTTTTAATACTTTGATAACCTATTTGTCGTTGTTTGATCAAACTTCCTTTTATTTTCGACAAAGATGCGCCAGATACAACTTAGACTATTTCTATTACTCCTCAGTTATGAAGTAACTTTAAATATATGGTGTTATACTTTGTATTTCTTGTTAACTTTCATCCGACCTATTACCAAAAAAATTACAAGGTCTTCGTACTAGATTAAACGTTGCGCTGTCATGTTCTTAAATGACTTCAGCTGTTATTCATGCTTTTGGATCTTTACACATGCATTCTCATACTCGTTTATAATTTCATTTGCAAATATCAGGTAATGGTCTAGCTTTTAATTAATTTCCATCCTCTTCCGCATATTATCTGTAACTGCTCTCTTTACAGGTTGCTACTATTTCATTTTGATTGACTCCGTAATAAATGGCCACATATCACTCAGTTGTCTCCTCTAGTTCATTTACAAATGGATTATTTTTCTGGCTAGACTTTTTTTAATCGTTTGTACAATTGGAAATAACTATTCTAGATTTAAAAAAAAGGTATTACCGGGTCCTTAAAAAAAATTTTTGACTTTTGAAAATTATTTTTCTGTTTTTGTCTTATTTGTCCTTTCTTCCAATTTTTTTCGGCCTGGAACGGATTCTTGATATTTTGCTTCCAAACGTTAAGGAGACTTGTAGAAGATCTTACTTTAACGATGCATGTAGTTGCAGTTGTACAAAACCATCTTTCAAGCTTTTAACTCACAATATTGCTCTTTTTGAGATATTTTATAAAGTATTTCATTCGTTACTGTGTCCATTCATATTTTGCTTACCTCGGGCGTAATGGAAAAAGTCTTTGTATAATGCTAAAGTAACTCTGGCTAATTGTCCTCGTTCGTTTTGGTCAAAAATTAAAAGACAAGTCCTGTCAATTATTGGTCGTTACAAGTTTATTTTTCACTCATCACAGCTCCTAGTCCATCAATCTACTCTATTCATCTCGTCACGCATTTAATAATGTGCAAAACAGCTCAAAGCACGTTTATATGGCCTAAAAACACGTGTTTAACGCGTCCGTTTAGGTTGATAAAGCATTCTACGCGTGTACATAAAATAGCATGGTATGTCACGTGAAAGTCACGTGTATTTGTAGTAATAGGCGTGTCTTGTACTACACTGCTAAAACGAGACTCCGCCAGAATTATAGCTTAAGGGGTAGAGCGTCGGCCTTTGAAAGCGGGGTTTAGGGGTTCGACCCCGGCCGGTATCATTTTTTACACTTTTGACACGGTGGCTTTTAAGCGTGATCTTTCCCACCAACGTATTCCTGAGACTTAGGCGATTCTCCCACATTTTTTTGATAAAGATTTTGTTAGAAAAATATTTCGGAATATTTAATTACCCATCTTTAGTCAAAGTCGGTAAGTGACCTTCAACTTTTTTACGGAATTTGATTCGGTATTTTGGTCAACACAAGGTGATTATTTTTTATTCGATAATTCGTAATTAACAAGGCTTATACGCGTAAAACAAAAGTTTTTGCAAGGGGAAGGGATTTAAATGGGCTCTGATAAAGGATGCTTGCCATCAGGATTAGATATAAAAGACAACGGTACTCCTACGTGTATAGTATTCCGTCTATAATTTCCAAACAGCATCCAAACTAGATTGCGGTAACAACAAATGCTTATTAAAGGCTAGAAGATAATAGCAAGGTGTCTTTATATCAAGTCTCTTTCCTTTACTTGAGGAATTCTTATCTTGAGCAATATAATGTAGATAAACACCGTTAAACAAAGATTATTGCTTCTTTGTTCTTCCTTGATACTATAATCATGCCTAGTTGAAATATAACTGATTAAAATACATTTTCAGATAATTGACTATTAAAGAAGGAAAGGTAATAACAAACTAAAGCAAGTGTAGAAATGAGGCTCTATTATAAGTTGGAGAGTTTGTCACGATAAAAAGAAAGGCTCCTTCTATACTCGAAATCTGAAAAACATTTCGTTACTTTTATTTGATTTATTTACTTTCCAAAATTCTTTCGGCTCTGGTCTTTATTTTGGTAGCTCCTTTCTAAGAGCAGATGAAACCTGTGTAAAGTAATGACAGACTAGTTTATCAAGGTGCCATTGAATAAAACTGTCTTTAGACATATTATTTCATGATTTTTTCCCTTTTGTACACTTTTTTGTCCAGCTAGACTTTTTTCAACTATTAGTATATCTAAAATTGCCTATTCCAAACACATTAAAATTATTCCCTTGTCATTACAAAATTTTTTCGACTTTTGAGAAAGACTTTTCTATGCTTCTTTAAAATATTCTTTTTTTCAATTTTGTTTTGATATATAAGTCGTTTAGCTGTTCGTTTTGAAACTTTTGTGAGCAACATTGAAGCTGTTGTTTTAAATGTTCTTGTTGTTGCGGCTATTTAAAAGTATCTTTGAAAATATTATTTAGTGCTATTGTCATTTTGTACTTATTCTAGGATGTCCCTAGTTCAATACCAATTCAACGTATCCCTGCTGATTCTGTTTGCACTGTACGTAATCTTTATGGTTCTCTTAAGTTTTACAATAATCCTTCACTTCTTGTCGTCGAGCAATGAGTCATGTCATACCCACTGTTAACTATTTTAATACCTTCACAACGTCTTTCTCGTTGTTTGATCCATCTTTCTTATATTTAGTACATAGATGTGCCAGTATTACTGAAGATACTTGAGATAACCCGGCTACTGTGTAAGTCATAAAATATACTGTCTTATTCTGTTTATTTCTTGTTGACCATCATTCGACCTACTAACAAAAAATGATCACAAGGTCTTTGTATTTGGTTAAACGTTGTGGTGTAATGTTTTTAAAAGATTTCCATTGTTATTCATGATTCAAAGTCTTTCACATGTATACTGGTAATCGGTGAGCATTGTATTAATAAATACCAGTTAGGAGGATGACATATAGTTAATCTTTTTCCCGTTCTGCATATTACCTATTACCGCTCTCTTTTCAGCTTGCTACTATTTAGTTTTGAGCTACTCCGTAATAAATCTCCACAGGTAATTCCGTTGTTACTTTAAGTCTTTTTACAAACTGATCAGTTTTCCAGCTGGACTTTTTTTAATCGTTTGCACAATTAAAAATAATTATTCTAGATCTAATAAAGCTATTCCCAAGTCCTTCGAAATTTTTTTGGACTTTTAAAATTATTTTTCTGGTTTTGTCTTATGTGTCCTTTTTTCCAAGTTCTTTCGGCTAGAAACGGAATCTTGATATTTTGCTTTAAAACTTATAGCAGTTATGTAGGAAATGTTAATTTAAATATGTAGACAGTTGCGGTCATACAAAACCGTCTTCAAAAGTTCTAATTGGCAATATTAATCATTTTGAGATATTTTATAAAGTATTTTCTTTATTGTTGTGTCATTCACGTTCTGGTTACCTCGTGTGTAATTTACTCAGTTCTTATACAATGCCAAAACTATTTCAATTAGCAAATTCTAGTTGGTGTGTTAAAGAATTCTATTTTTTGCTAACTGTTCGTGTTCTTAATAACGTTGGCCCATTTATTTGACCTGGTTTATGATATAGACTTTTTTTAACAATTTGTGTACGGAGCGCAGACAATTAGAATTCTATTAAAAGTATTCCCATGTCGTTGTAAATTTTTTTCGACTTTTGAAAAATATTTTTTTGCATTTTGCTTAAAAGATACTTTTTCCAAATATCATTCGGGTTGGGACGTATGCTTCGTATTTTGTTTTAGTACTTGCATCATCAACGTAGAAGGTCTTCTTAAACCGATATGGATTGCGTTAATCTTTTAAAAGTTTCAGAGAACATTATTTGACTTTTTTGTTTTTTTTATGTCTTTATCAATAGGTATTTTCGAAACTGCCTAAAGTCTTGTTTCGTCTAAGCCATATGCAGTGTAGAAGTTCCTTTATCATTTTACACCTATTCCAATTGTTTATCAGTACTGATTGTTGACAAACAGTTACGACCTTAAGTATTATTTTTCTTTTTAATGTCTTCATCCTTACTTCGTTAATATTCGACTATGTCTTCCCATTTCCTCTCAAAGAAGAGCTGGTTAGTCCAAAATTAATTCCAGGTATTTTACATTTATAATATATATCATACATGCAATCACTTGGTATTTCGTAACTTATTCTATTAACTTGATAACAATTCGTCTAAACTAATTTTATCCTACATGTTAATGATACAGGGACACTCTAGGGTATGTTGAACCGATTGACGACAGTTTTTTCTTGCTGACATTTGCTTTTAAAGAAGTATCAGCCCATATAATTATGGCTTATTGAAAATCACTAATATTTGTAATACAGAAGCGATACACTTTTCTAAAAGCAACTAAACTATTATTTCTACTTATATTTTAGACATAAACAGTAGCAGGACCCATAGTTTCTTTTTCTACAAGATGAGGATTTGCCAAAGATATATTGGCCCTCCATATTATAACTAAAATAACAAAATTACAGTCTGTAATAAGACCGGCCTGTCCTTTATAATAACGCTAGAGGTCAGCCAGACGAATGAATCCTGCCCTGAAAAATAAGTTTAGACCAAAAAAGCAAGAAACAATTATATAGAACAATACTTTGCAATTTCATCATAAAAATTGACTACAATCCCGTACAATTTACCCTAGAGTACCCCTAGAAACGATCCAAGACTATTACTTTTCATGGCTGCCATTGCCCAGCCAATCATCGAACAGCAATCTCCAAAAAAGTCAATTTTTTAAAAAAACTTTTTTTGTGCAGAGAAATCAGAAAAGTTAAAAGCGGAGTTTGAAAAATTTTGTCCATTTTTGGATTTTTAAAAACATTCTCAGCCAATCAATTATTGTCCGACGGCTTTGAAACTGGTATCATTCGAAAGCCCTTTGCAAGGCGCAGAGCGTAACCAAGCCGGATTTTTAAAGTTTATTCTAAAATCTATTTCAAGAACGATTTAAATTTCATTTCCCTGCTTAAAATCGGGATTTTTGACTTTAAACGTGTGTAACAACATTTCAGCCAATCTAAGGGGGGTCATGTTATACATTTTTGAAATGCCACGATTTTTCGTTATTTTGGAGGAAATTTGTCAAATTTCATTCGGGGTACCACCTTCCTTCTCTTACTCCCCTTGTCGTAGTCTATATCGTTGTCGAGGGCAACATCGTTATCGAGGGCAACATCGTTGTCGAGGGCAACATTGTTGTCGTTGGCAACTGAATTGGCTTTGGTAGGCGTAGGCTGAGAATTAATGTAGTGTACATATTTGATGACATTAAAACCCAAATAAGTCAATGACTTTTCATTTCTAGGGATCGAAAATAGTACCGTTGAAACGAGCTCATGTTTCCACGTAGGATAGCCAAGCGTTTTTTTCATTCCAGATTTCATCGGGGGTTACTATGGGCATGGGCAGGCAAAATTGGCTTTGGTAGGCGTAGGCTGAGAAATAATGTAGTGTACATAGTTGATGCCTTTGAAACCCAAATAAGTCAATGAGTTTTCATTTCTATGGATCGAGAATAGTACCGTTGAAACGAGCTCATTTTTCCACGTAGGATAGCCGTGCGTTTTTTTCATTCCAGATTTCATCGGGGGTTACTAACTGCGTTGGATAGGTAATTAATTGTGTAGTCTTAGTGTTTGTTAATAGTCATAGTGTTCTTTAATAGTCCTATTAATCATTAATAGTCATAGTGATCATTGGTCGTCTTAGTATTCTGGTGGTCATGGTTATCTGGTTTCCTTAGTTGTCCTGTTGCTTTAGTTATCTTGTTGTCATGGATATTTTATAGGGTAACCCTTCTTGTTGTCTTAGTTATCTTGGTGTCCTAGATACATTATTTTCTTAGTGATGTCTTCGTCTTAGTGATTTCGTCGTCTTAGGGATCTTTTTGTATGGATAGTCTGGTTGTCTCAGTTACTGGTATTTTTAGGCATATTGCTATTTTAGATATTGGGTCGTCCTAGAAATCTTCTTCACAGAGATATCTTGTTGCCATAGTCACGCTGTTATCCTACTTGTTTCATTGTCCTAGATACTTTGTTGTCCTGAGTATCTGGGTCTCCTGGAGATCTTGCTGCCTAGTTGTCTTAGATACACTTACCCTAGATACCTGGTTGGCTTCGATATATTTAACTTAGATACTTGGCTGCCGTAGATAGATTATTCGCTTAGATACCCCGTTGTCTTGGATACGTTGTTATCTTTGATATATTTTTGTCTAGATTAATGTGGTGTCATGGATATCATTCTCTTTTAAGTTTTGTATTGTTTCCTCTTTCCTCGTTGTCTTAGTTACTTTCTTATCTGTGTATTCTTATTTTCTTATTATCAATTGTAATCTCGTTGTCTTGGTGACAATGGGGTTGTCTTGGTGATAATGGGGTTGTTTTGGTGATCATGGGGTTGTCTTGGTGAGGATAGTTGTCTAGGAGAGAATAGTTGTCTATGTCTGGATGGTTGTCTAGGGGATGATCGGGGTCTTATTGAATAATCATAGTCATAGTGTCCAATATCGGTCGTAATGATTAATCATAGTCATGGTGATTAATCTTAATCATGGTGATCAATCTTAGTCATGGTTATAACTGATCTTCATAGTGATGTATTTATGGTAATGATCTAATTTTCGTAGTTATTCTTTTAGTTGGCATAGTAATCTAGTTCGCATATTCATCCTTTTGTCATAGGTATTTCATTGTCATAGGTTCCTAGTTGACATGGTTATGTATTCATCATATTTAACTAGTTGACATAGTTATGTGGTTGTTATAGATATCTGATAATCATGGTTATCTTTGTATTCATAGAGATCTGTGTTGTCATATTGGTATGATTAGTCATCGTTATCTAGTTGTTATACATATTGAGTTGTTATAGTTACCTAGTTGTTATATTTGTCTCCTAGTCATAATTATCTGGTAGTCATAGTTAGCTGGTTGTCTACGAGATCTTGTTGTCTTCGGTATCATGATGTCCTGGATATGTTGTGACCTTATATAACATGTTACCTTACAAATTCAGTTGTCATAGATATCTTCTTTTCTATGCTATCGTGTTGTCATATATATCTTGTTTTGCTACCTACCTGATTGTCCTATTTAATTGGTTGTCTTTGTAACTGGTTGTCATAAATAATTTGGTACCGTGGTAATCTAGTTGTCTTACATACATGGTTGTCTTGCATATCTTGTTCTCCTGCATTCCTGTTGTCTTGGCGATCTACTTGTCTTACATATGTAGTTGTTTTAGATAACTTGTCGTCTTAGCTATTTGGTTGCCTCCGTAATATGTTGTCATAGTGATTTTGTTGTCATAAAGATTTGTTTGTCTACGTTATTATTTTGTGTGAGTTACAGGTATTCTTAGGTGTATTGTCAATTTAGAAATCCTGTCGTCTTAGATATCCTATTCTCTTAGAAATGTTGTCATCATAGTTATTTAGTTTCCATACTTGTTTGGTTGTTCAAGAGACTTTTTGTCATGGAAACACTGTTGTCTTGTTGTCTTAAGTCTCATGTTATCTCGGATATCTTGCTGTCTTTTAATTGATGTTCTTGTCATAGATATCGTATTGTTCTATTTACCTCGTTGCGTTAAATATAAGTTATCGTAGATATCCGTCGTCGTAGTTGTCCCTTGTCGTAGATATCTGTTGTCTTAGGTATCTTTTGTCTTAGATATAATATTCGCTTAGATATGTCGTTGCCTTGGATATCTGGCTGTCTAATTTATGTGGTTGTCTTATGTTTCTCGTTGTCGTGGATATCATGTTGTCTGAGCGATTTTGTTGCCTCAGACACATTATTGCCTTGGTTATTTCGTTACCTTAGTAACATTGACGTCTTGGATATACTGTTATCCCGTATGTCTTGCTGTCATAGATATCATATTATCTTCCTGATATTGTTGTCCAAGATATCTCGTCGCCTTAGATATCTTCTTGTCTTAGGTTGTTCTCAAGCAAAAAAAAATCTTCAGATCTGATCTGAACTGAAGTGCGGAGTTACCCTCTATGGGATTTTGTGTAATAAAAACTTCAGTAAACTTCAGATGAAAAAAATCCATCTGAAGTCTACCGAAGTGATATAAAAGGAAATTTCCCATGATTTCTAATTTCACGAATATTATCCAATTTTTTTAAAAAATCCAAATTTTCTTTTCTTTCTTTTTCATAAATACATTACCATGGAGCAACAAAACATATTCGAACAAAAGGAAAAGATTATTAC